CTGATATTAGTAGTTCGTTTTTACGTAACAAATATCTGAAAATTTCTGATAAATCGCATTTCGTTTTGTCTGAAAATTCCCGATAGTAGCATTTCGTTTCTCTGATATTTCGCATACATAGCTGAAATTTCTAAAGTTAGTATTTTCGTTCTCTAGGCATATTGGGATAACGATAGAAGTGGTCATATTCTCGGAAACTGAAACTATTCTTTTCTGAAAATTGCATTTCCATTCTATCTCCCAAAATTTTTTTGAAAACCGAATCTTGCGAAGCCTACCAATATTGCATTAGGCATATTCGGAGGTTGCCATATTATCAGAAACTGGATTTCGTTCTTTTCTGAAAATCGCATCTTTACTCCATTTCGCAAATTTTTTTTTTTCAAGATCGCAGTTTGTAAAAGTCAAAACTTTGCGGCACCTAGCCTAGATCTCGTTCATTATACTCTTCTGACATATCCTACTCATCATAAATCGACAGATATATACAAAAAAAAAAAGAAAAAAAAAAGAAAATAGTCCTCTTTTATTTTTTATTTTTTTATTTTATCTGTTGATTAGGGCCGGAGGAAAGCATTGTTGGGTTGGTTACCTCCCTCCATTTTCCCTCCCACCCACCCCTTGCATGCATCCCGTTTCGGTACAGTGCCACGTCAGCAGTGCCAGATCAGCAGTGCCACGTCACAGTGCCAGATCAGCAGTGCCACGTCCGCAGTGCCAGATCAGCAGTGCCACGTCCACAGTGCCAGGGCACATTGCCACGTCAGACACAGTGCCACGTAAGCAGTGCCACGTCAGACACAGTGCCACGTCAGCAGTGACGTTCAACACAGTGCCACGTCAGCAGTACCACGTCAGACGCAGTGCCACATCAGCATTGCCACGTCAGCAACATGACGGGCCTGCCAGGCCAACTGGCCAATGAGACCATTGCCGCCTACAAGCAGCGTTGCCTGGCTCAGATAGAGGCTGAGGAACAACGYCTGCTGGYAGTCGAGGCTGCCCGCATACAAGCTGAAGAGGCAGCAGCAGCAGAGAAACTGCGGCTACAGGCTGATGCAGAAGCAGATGCCCAGGCTCGCCGAAAGGAAGCCCAGGATCTGTTGCAGCGGCATGAAGCCAACAGCATCCACAGACTCAAGTACTGGCATTTTCAACCGAACAACGGCGATGCAACACCGGAAGAAAAGCACAAGGAGTTYCTCTCCAAACTCGTGACGCGGTTGTTGTATGCTTGCAACTACCAAAGGTCAGAGTTGGAGAGACAACACCGGGACCTGACGCAACAGCATCAGGAATTGGCGACGCTCCGCCGCACAGTGCAGAGCCACGAGGATGCAACTCGGGCACTCAATGCCCGATTGTTGGACCTGGAACAGGCAGTACCAGGACCAGCTGCTGGAGCTTCCAGCATTGCACCCTCAAGCCGCCAACTGGAGGATCGCGTTGACCACGTAGTGGCAATGCTCGGCGACATCAGCACCTTCGCTGCGCCGACCACCACCATCAGCAGTCAGCTGCATACATTGAAGACCGAGGTCCAAAAGTTGCAGTCGACGAACGCGGACGACAATCCGAAGATGTACAAGATGCCAACTTTCAACCTGGAGAGGTTCGACGACTATACGCAGAAGGATCCCGTCCTCTGGTGGGAAGCATTCACAACGCAACTCAGGATTCTGCCAGTAGCCAAGCATGCGTACATCGGCGCTCTGTTCCTGAACTCAAAGGGCGGATGCCAGACCTGGTTGAGCCACCTGGCAACCTCCCACGGCGTCGACGTACCAGACTTGAAGGACGTAATCACATTGGAGGAACAGAGACGACTGTGGAAGAACCGGTTCATCATCGACGACGCGCCGGCACTCGTCATCAACCGTTTGTTCATCATGTCACAGGGCAACACAGCAACACGGGACTGGCTCACGGAGTGGCAGAAGATTGCGGATGTGCCCAATCTGAACCTACCATTCGAGCATCTACGCCGTGAGTTCTACAACAGGTCTTGTGCGGCATTGAGCCAGGCTCTTGGTGATCGCGAGCAGTACTCAACCTTCGCGGAGATCATTGACAAAGCGAGGGAGATCATCAAGACCAACAGGTCAGCTGCACACGAGAAATCAACATGGCAGCCGACCTATGTGGAGAAGGCACGAACTGGTCCGTGACAGCAGCACTTCGCTGCAGTCCAGCAGGACAGTGGAGAAAACCCAGCAGCCACTCCAGCATCAAGTGACGGAGATCAGGTGGCTGCTGTCCACCCGCGAAGCAACAACAAGTCCCGCAACAATGGGAAGGCGAAATCCGCATCGCAGGCCGAAAATGGACAGCCAGGACAGTTTCCATGGGTCAAGTTTGGCTTGACCGAGGCGGAGTACAAGGTCCGCGGCCGCTACGGCAGCTGCTATTGGTGCAACAGCACCAAGCACAAGACCTCCCTGTGCCGAGATCAGGGCAAGGAGGATGTGCGACCCCGCCTCAGCTCGGGAAACTGAACTCCGCGGAAGGTGAGGCGACTCCACCTTCTACTCCGCCAGATTTGGCCGCCTTGCTAGCGGCCTCCTGCACATCCGGGGAGGATGCGAATGTCGCAAGTCCTCGGTATACTTACGAGGATTATGCTGTCCACTTGGTTCCACCGCTGGACCAACCGCTCCACGTGCAACAGTCCACCGCATGCACGGTTTCATCACCATCGGCAACCTATTCCGCAGCTTCGCCGCAATCTATCGCCGGGGATTCGACGTCATGGTCAAGACTTGAAGAGCTCGACCCATTGACGTTCACGGACTTCCAGTGGATGCCCGTTCCCTCGACCGGACGATTGCCGAAACCGCATTGCAACGTGCTTATGGCACAATTGCGGGACTTCTTGCACACTACAGTACCAGCTCCGTTGATGGACGCCGGAGCAGAGGTTGTCGA